CCCCAAAACCCCAAAACCCCAAAACCCCTTTCTGTTGACTCCCTATTGAAAGAATTTGGGCAAGGATGAGATTTTAAGAGAATCTTTACAAATCATTTGTGCATATAATCTTTCCTTGTGTCTTGTTGCTCTCCATATACTCATGGGCGTCCTTCATCTCACTAAAAGTTAGAGTTTTGGAGATTACCTGTATTTCAGAGTAATGTCAATGATTGGCTTCAGCTCTCCAGTCTCGAAGAGTGGCAAGAATTGTTCAGAGAACTTAGTGATCATATCTGCTTTGTATTCATTAGTTCTAGTCTTTAAAGTTGAGCATAGCAATTGGATTCTCTTACCCATGAAGCTCTTGAGGTTAAATTCTGGGACTTTGGGACCTCCCATCAATCCATACAAAACCCATTGGCAGTCTACAGCAGCTGACTTGATGTTGTAATCGAAGTTTTGAGCTCCAACGCAATCAAGAATGATGTTGACTCCTTTTCCTCCAGTGTATTCTTGTACCAATGTTGAAAAATCAGCATTCTCTTTGTAGTTAATACCATGACTAGCTCCAATTGATTTGGCGAGTTCCAATTTCTCGTTAGTAGATGCAACTGCAATGGTAGTAATTCCTACTTTCTTGCAGAGTTGAATAGCTGCACATCCAATACCAGACCCAGCTGCATGGATAAGAGCAGTTTGTCCTTCCTTTCCACTTGCTACCAAGAACAACAATTGGAAAGAAGTAAGCCATGTCTCTGGAATAGCTGCTCCTTCCTCAAAAGATAGATTCTCAGGAATCTTCATCAAGTGGTCCTTATGAACTCTTGCGATATCTGAGTAGCCACCACCTGGGAGTAATGCCATGACTCTTTCATTATTTTTGTACTCTCCAGAAGTATATTCCTCCTGACTGTTGACTAAATATCCAGCTGCTTCCAGCCCGATTACATCAGTTTCCCCTGGGATGGATGGGTAGAGTCCTTTTCTCTGCATAGTTTCAGCTCTGTTAATCCCAGTAGCTTCTGTCTTGATCCACACATAGTTCTCCTTACCTTCATTGGAAGGGAAGTCGACCTCTCCGACTTTGAAGACATCAGGAGCTCCTTGCTCTTCTGCGATGATGGCCTTGATTTTCAATGAAGATTCCATATTTAATATATCCAAGTTTACACTCCAGATATGGGGTTTTGGGGTTTTGGGGTTTTGGGGTTTTGGGG